GCTAATGACTCCTAGTGTTGAAGAATGTGACTAAAGGATTTGGTTTCATATTGTGGTTGGAAACGAGAGCAAAACCTTCAGAAAACCTATGTCGGGTCTTTTCGCTAATCTTGTAGTTTGTAGCCTCAACGGGGAAAAATTACTCTTCATCGGATAATCATCATCAATTGAGTGGCTCAACTTTACTGGTTATGCGCGATAGAAAAAATTCAAGGCACAATACGTATATCGTTTCAGATGACAACTGTACAGCATTAGAAGGCAAGATTCAAGGCTTGAAATGATGAGGTAATTTCTACTCAAATGTGAGTAGGGGGGAGGTGGACCGCCAGTGGAGAAAAAAGGAAAAAAAATCGTGAAATACACAGGAAATACGAGCCTTTTGCTCTACGCTGCGGAGAAGTTCAAAAGGCCGGCAGGGAGATGAGAGATAATGTGAGCGCGGAGAGCGGTAGAGAAGTCCGAGAAGAGAGAGCATAGCAGATCAACATTGCGACGCAGACAAGATATCGAGCGGTGGGCGGAGCGTGTCGCAACAGGTGGAGCGTGTCAAAGTCCTTGGCCCCTAGCGCCTTAGTGACGCATTTCGATGCGGGAACTTGGCGAGTCGCCTGCAGTTGCGTCCCATGCACTTCTAGCCACTTAAGGGCTTATTAGGTGGGTCTGAGCCCGAACTTTGCCTTTAAGTTTATGCGACAGTCATCAAAACGCTGTCGTAACCCATCCGAGCGCATTTCAAACGCTTTGCTGAAGCTCAATTATTCATTTACAAAATCGATCAGTCAAGTCGCCTCGTATTGCTAGTGAAGTTTTATGCAAGATCCCATTCACCTGGTCGCTTATTAAAAAAGGAGAAGTCGTTGAACTTCTGCAAGAGTGGTTTCTGCGAACCAGCACAATATCTCCACGTGATTGTTCTTCTCATTATTATAATCACTCACTTTTTTCTATTAACATTTAGAGTCGTATCTAAGCTGTCTTCGAACGAATCCGCTTCGTAATTTTCGCAAGCAAACGACCTGAAATGCGATGAATACGACCAATGGATCACAATGCTTTTTGAGAAATTAGCTAAAGGCAGGTCTTGCAATTTGTTAGTGCCGCTGAAGTGTGAAAGGAGGGGCTTTTCCGAAAAAAAAAACCAAGAAAAGCGGTGTAACACAAAAAAGCAGTACCCTCTTTTTGCCTACCAGATTTCATGACTGATTAGTACAACTACGTTTGGTTCCGAGCACAAGAACCCCTACCTTCGGTCTTATTGTTAGAATGCGCCTTTAACTCCACCCCCTAGCATCTGCGTCTTCGGGTCTTGAATGATATGGAGCGGTATAAGGGATTTTTGATATTAGCACTGCATAGATGGTGCTGAGTTCAGCATTGCCATCAACACCCACTAATCACGTTTACTTTGAGACAAACATTACGGCCGCACCCTTCAAAACTGCGGAACCTGCACTTTTCGGGCCAGTCTATGACGATCACGAGGTGTTCTCCACTCAGCGAACCGTAGAGTGTACCTCCGATACCTCCGAACGAATTTATTTTGAATTCATGCATAGAATCATACCTAACAGTCCTCATTGTAGCTAGCACTTCCTCAGCTTTGCTGTTCGCTGCCGCAATAGTTGTTTGAGTTTGTTCGGACAGCCGCTGTAATGAGGAATACACTATATCGTCACACTAACCTACTAACTACTAAGCTGTATGTTCTCCTTGAATCCTTTTCGTCAATTTGTTGGAGAGCTGCAGTAGTGTTGGCCATTTTACAACTATTGCCCCACTGAAGAGGTTGATCAAAAATGTCTGAAAAGAGTTCCTCGTGCTCAGTTTCGAAGCAATTACCAGTCAAGATTAGGTGCCGAAGGATCTATTTCTAGGTGGGCTGGATAAAATAGAAAATCGCCACGAGTGCGCCATTTCCGCGGCTTGGAAAGTGACAGCATACGGCGCTAGGAGCTCTGCGACAAAGTGGAGTTCTTGGCGATCTTTTGACAAACTTATGGCACGAGACACCCTCCACGCACATTCCCAGACCTGCTTACGACGTAGCGGCTATTCAAAATGCGCCAAGGGCCACGACAGCCATAATCGCGCGATTCGCGGCCCATGAAGCGATTCGCTAGCGTCGTCCGCCGCGTTGGCGTTACCAGGGGGCCATTTGAGTTTGATTAAAACGCCACGACGCGACCGCAGCACGCTAAGGCGAATCGCGGCATTCGCACGAAGGTCTGAATAACTACATGTTCTATATTATAACTCACCCTAGAAGGATTGACGATAGTGTAAAGCCAGGTTACCTAGGAAGTTTTTCTAATATTGATCAACAAATTCCTTAGCCACGAAAAACCCCGTACCTAATGGGGGGCGAGCAGCAGGGCCGATTTCTGGAACTTTTTTGTAGCAAGTTTTATTGTACTTGCGGGGAGGCCGTTCAACTAATTATAAAAGACTTCTTACTATTATGTGGTGAGATTGAGCTAGATTCCATTTTGACTTGACACAGGGGGCGTGAGAGATTTCACGACCTATGCTTACCCCTCGTAAAAGCTAACGACACATTCGAAGAACGTCCGTGGCACACTAAGGAGGCTAAGTTGCCGAATTTTCGTTTGCTCGATTCCATTCGAGGCTTTTGTGACCGCCTGTTTCAAAAGTTCTGTGCTCTGACAGTACCGGTAATTCGCATGAGCCTTTTTGGCGATGATTTAGACATTCTCCATAGGATGGCATCCGGACTGCAGACTGGACACTGTTGGATGCTTGTGTTTTGGAAATGCCGGATGCCTTAAAATAATGCTGAGGGACCGAGGACCACGTGATCGGCAGATCTGCCTGTTGAACGACGTGGTTACAGACCGTACAGCCGCAATGCATGTAAAAGGCACTAGTTATGTGCTGCTAGAGTTCTGCTGAAGATCCGAGAAGTGCCGTTTTCAAGTCCCTAAAAGGAAGGTCTCGACATTCTCATAACAATTCGTAACAAGAAGCAAAACCGTTCTTCACAATTCGTGCACGAATAACGAGCGCTAAACCGAACGGTCTAAATTCGAAAATTACTTCGAAGGCGCTTGTTTTCGTTGAATCTGCCCACATTAAGCTTTTCATTCAGGAAAAAACAATCTTAATGAGGCTACCAAGGTGTGTGGTGCCATGGTGACCACGGCCTACCCTTTACCCAGAACCTGCTCTCTAATTCAATTGTGAGAAATGGATCGCTGCATTTCTACAGAGCCTTGGCAGCCCCGGGTCAACCGTCACCGTTCGAAGGACATTTTCGGGATTTTTTTTTTTTTTTGCGGACCCACCCGTCTCTAGAGGTCCAGGGTTGCGACCCCAGAGTGCAGATCAGCGGGCTTGCCCACCAGCCGTGCGTCTGACCTACTTTCTATAGAGTATTTGATTCTGAGACCCAGTTGTTCTTCGCCCGATCTCCACCTATTGCCCTGCGCCAATTGCCTGACCATACGTGACCGAGCAGAACTGCAGTGCTTGATTATTTGTGCGACGGGACCGCCTCGACGGGCGGCCTCCCAGCGGAAGCACTAGAATGCGACCCCGGGCCCGTTCGACACAATTCGAACCGACAATTGACCCATGCTTGAACTTACGCGCCTGCTGACAATGTCTCTGCTTCCTCTCACCTCTACCCGGACTTTATTTTTCGACACAGAAAGTGTTTAATTGTGAGCGAATCTAGATTCAACAGAAGGTACTGTTTGGAACTGCCTTCAAAATTCTTCTCGAATCGTTGGTAGTAAATGCACGTGAGTGTGCCAAAGTAGTAGAACATCTGAAGACTTGGTAGCACTTCAAACATCCTTGGAATGAGCGAGAAGTTTTCCGATATGTTTCGCAACCACTCTTGTGCCGAGCCCAGCACGTCGAAATGCATAAATCTTGCCCTTCTTCAAAAGACCACCACGAAACATTCCGAAAATGAAGTCTGAAGATTTGCTAGTGACAGATATTCACTTCCGCAAGCACCTTCTGTTGACCCTCCGAAGAAATTGTTCATTTTTTCAGGGTGAGCTTATAATTACGAAAATTTCAAAAAGGAAAAAAAATTCAGAAAAAGGTGCTGCTGCTAAAATCTACGGGGATTATTCGTGCGTGCTTCGTCCGTTGATAATGCCAGAGGAATTCCTAAATGACTGCGTTCCCTGGAAGTGCAAAATTTGAGGGTGAGCTTATAATTTTGAAACACACTGTAGAGTAAGCAAGTCCGTACGACTCGCCTGGCCCCGCCTCTTCCTTATTTCAAGGAGAGAGAAAACTTGCTCAACGCTTCATCGGCAATCTAAAACAATTACGATGGAACTTGAGATCGTTGGCGATGAACGATGGCTGTTTTGTTCACCGAGAAGACGGACGGATGGACAAAATCTGGTTCGTTAAGTGACATCAGAAGGATATTTTGCTGTGGTTCCCATTTCTTAAGACCTTGCTTGAACTTTGCTGATGCTCCCAATCGGGAGAGCGTCCTTTCGACTCATCCTATGTTCAGTATCAAGCACTATCAAGCCATATGCCCCTGGTAGTCTCTTCATACGTTCTCCGACTCGGATGGCACGAACCTTGCGCTCGCTCAGACAGGTACCTCAATCAGGAGGGATTAAAATCCCTCAGCAAATCGAGGGAACCTTTCGTCCTACTCATTCCGATTTTTTGTTCTGCTTACTTGGTTAACGAAGAACTAAAATCCTCGAACATACCACTGCCACTTAATTAAAAGCAATAATACAACAAAAATAACATCTCATAGAAGAAATAAATCTTACATCGTAATATGAGCCATACCACTTGGTAATGAAGCCCGTGAGAGGAACGGCAATAAAAGTGACCTGAAAATTAACTAAATTATTCGAAAATTATTATATAAATAAAGTAGCGCGTTGAAATTTGAGAACGACGAAATGATGCTTGTTCAGTTCTCCCTCACTGTTGTTTCTTAACATCTTCCTCAACGCATGAAGGCTTAAAATCGTATGACAAAACGAAAGATTATTCCATTGTCGCGGCTTTCTAGACTGCAGCAAACTCACGCAATTCCAGACATGCCCCAACAGAAAGTCCCACATGCAGAGAAGTTAATAACCTCAAAAAGGCATCAAGATGGACAACTGAAGGTCTGAAGATCTACTAACTTGAACTCTCAGTTGACCCATTCACGGTTGTCCCCTATGTTTCTCTGCCGAGAAAGGCCAGAGCACAGACGATTAGAGAACGGTGCCTGGCTCGGCTTCAAATCCCAACCAAGAAGGTGAGAGCTCTAGGACTAAGCCTTGAAGGGAGGAGGGACTCCGTAGTGGATGAGCCAATTATATTGTGGCAAAGTTTGAATAAATAGATCACAGTAATCATAAAGCGCTGGTTAGCAGAGATCGCAGGCGAAGCCGTCAGAATCGAGCTGGTTAAAAGGGTTTCGAGTTACTAAAGTGTCCCGTAGACCGCCTTCACTGATTCAGGTCCGCGTGCAGAACCTTACCAGAGATTGAGATGGTACTGTGAAAATTGCGAGTTACTGCGCTCATTTCGTCACTGCACAAGATTGGGAACCAATCGCTCAGGCCAACAGTCCTATTTAATCCGCAAGCAATGCGCCACGTATCTATAGGAATTGATGCCACACTAGTTTTTGCGTTTCCCTCGCCTGAATCCCATCTCCGTTCTCTCGTTCGTGGCGCTTTTGCTTCGAGTAAAGTCTTAAAATGCCCGCTGACCGGACCAAAGGTACTTACCAATCATGGATGAACCCCGTTTGCTATTATACATCTTGCTTGTGGGGTATTCGACAGAATAGAGGCTCCGTTCGGTGGACACAGCTCGTATCGATCGGGGGCTAATGCCTAGCGCTGTCTTGATCAACCCCCTTACAAACGCATTGGCTCAAAATCAAAAATCCATGTTTGGTATCAGCGTCGAGAACACCGTAAAATGGCACAAAATTTGACTACAAGCTTCAAATCAGACTCCCTTGATGTCCACCACCGCATAACTGCCTATAGGGTAATCGCACTGATCTACAGTCGATGCAACCGACCGCCAGAAAAAACGGCGCCACCCCCACATTCGAAGCGTAGGACTGGATAAGTTAACTCAAATACGTAGGATCATCCCTAATGTTGCGGAGACGACAGACCGGCAGACGGGGGATCGGAGGTAACCTTTGGCAGTGGGTTGAAATGAATTACCACTAATAGATCTGAACATTGAAAACCAAGAACAAAGGAACTTAACTGCGTAATAGTATACCGTAAGAAGTGTACATTATCGCATAGTTTTCGACGCTTATTTCAGAAACGAAAATAATTTTTGATTTCGAGAATTACAGTGTTGAGACCAGAGAATGGCTCAGTTCCACATGAGCCATAGTATACTATCTAGACGACTCGCGAGCAATAGTGGGCTCCCCTACAACTTTTGCTAACTAGTTCAGCAACTTTTCTTTCCCGCAAATGCGCGTCTACCGATTATTGTTTAAAAGACCAGTTATAAATTTGCAGAACAGTGCATATTCCCCATGCTTAGATTTTCACGGCTAATGCCTGCTAAACTCAGATGTTATTAAGGGGCCCCGTTAAAGAAACACTCCGATTGACCACTAGTGCTATCACTACCTTGCTCTGTAGTGATGAGTGATCTTAACTGGGAAGCGACCGGGAAAGTTCTGATGATGAAAGCAGAGAGAACTCCTCTGCGAATTGCTGAAACTAGAGTTTACCACTTTACTCAGGGTCGGATGTGGGCCAGCGATGTCATGAAAGGGCAGCCAAAGGAGCAGGAGAGCACGCACGTTTGAGAGAGCACGCTGATCTCTACATCAATGCACGCTGATCTCACCACCTCTCGCGGTGGGTGGGGAGCGTTGAAATTGGGTCGATGGTTGCCGGCCCGTAAGGAATAGCGCCTAACCGCGCAATTTTTGCGACGAAGCTGGAGTGACACTAAGTGGATACAGACCTTGCATCTCAATAGTGGTACCCATCACATTCACTAGTCCGTGGCCTAATCACGCGGGTTGGGTTTTCAAATATCCCACATGAAGGTTTTTTATGTCGAATTGTGGTGGCGAATTGAGATACAAGGAGCCTAACTTTAAATATTGTCCACGAGTGAGGCTGCCCGCCGACAATTCGTTTTTCGGCCGTTTCCCCCTCCTCGGCAGCCCAACAGCTCTGACTTTTTATGTTCCAAAAAGCCCTCGAGTTCAAAACGCGTTTTTTCGTTCCGATCAACGGGCATCATCTGGATGGTTAGATTCAAAGACGCTTGCTATAATGACACGCAGTATTATGCGTGGTAAAGAACAAAAAACTTTTGTTTCGGGGGTCGTAATTTCTTGAACATAAGAGCTGGACTGTTATGTGTGTTGCTGACGACTGATACCACTGATATGGATTTTTGTTATGAACCAACAACTTAGTCAGGTTTGTTCGAAGGCGCGCCACATAAGTATCAATCGGTCGATATGTATCGAGTCGTTTATCCAGCTATTCGTCCATCTGCCCGAGGAATTATCTTTGTTAATTCGGGCCTTCCTTCCACATACATGATCTATAACTCGTTGTGGGGGTTACCGCTGACCCGGTCCTGCGATCTTGGCCTTCACGCCGCGGTAGACGGACCCTTCTTAAATAGGAATCGGCTCCACTTGAGGGTGCGTGAGGGCGCATTACATCGTGGGCAGTGGCTAGGTCGCCGCGCCAGCCGATGCAGCCCGCGATGCCACGTCGGCTGTGGCTAGAATTCATGGTCTGGATAATGTAGGATTAGATGAAGTTACCAGTCATTAAGCACGGTATGACCTGCCACTTGCCCCTTAAAGTATAGGTGTTCCTTGTCCCTTGCCATTTTACAAACTTACTCTGTCAAACTAATATATTGCCTTCCTCACCGTTCCACTGCTTCTTGGGACGTAATATTTTCCGATTGAGCCAGATTATCCAGCTTTATATGACATTTTAGCAGTTGACTCGCATATGAAGAGTCAAATTATGTTCGATACCGGACAGACCTTTACATCCAGACAAGCTGGTTCAGTGAGGCCTTTAAATAATGCAATGAGTCTTCAAGGGACCTTGTTGGGCTAACTGATGTATGGAAGCTTCTGGCTCTTGTACTGTTTCTCTCCACCCACCAGCACTTATGAACGCAAGACCCGCTTAAGGTCCAACCCCCATACAATAACCGCCGCAACCGGCTGCCGCGTGAAGCGACCATTGACCTCATTAGCCGACGAGTTGAATTGAACCGATCTCTCCCTTGGCGGACTAACACCACTCAAGGGGTATCGCTTTTCTAGGTAATGTCGGTTCGGACTGTGCGGCTTGTCCACGGATAGAATTCGTATAATGTGACTTCTGTCCAAACCAGGGTCAACCGTCACGTTCGAACATTTTCAGGGTTTTTGCGACCCCCTTTTCTCAAGGGGGTCACCCCCTTATCTCAAGGGGGTCCAGTTGCGACCCCCTCTTAGGTAATGGAAGTGCCGAATGTGCTGACTAAAATGTTAAGTGAAATATTTATTCGTAAGCCTAAAAACTCGCCATATATACGTTATTTATTTCACTCATTTTACTTCAAAGACAGTGAACTAAAACCTTTTAAAGACAATGAACTTCCATGACATAGAACAAAACATTTGAATATTGAATTCTTCACTGGCATTTGAATTGAATTCTTTTCAAAAAATTCAATTCAAATGTTCAGTAAAGAATTCAATATTCAAATGTTGTGTTCGTAAGTTCGTAAGTTCATTGTTTTCAAATGGACAATGAACTTCCATGAAATATGAACAGAACATTTGAATATTGAGATCTTCACTGAAATTTGAATTGAATTGTTTTCAAAAAATCATTGAATTTCTGAAAAAAATTCAATATTTTTTTCAAAAAATTCATGGATTTTTTCTTACAAAAATTCATTGGATTTTTTTTTCAAAAGTCTTCATAATAAGAACTAATTTTTTTCTAATCATCTTCTTGCTGTATTGGAGCTGCATTGCTGTTGAGAAATCTAAAAGAAATAATAATCACCTTATTTCTAAGTGAAAATTTTGTTTGCAACTTTGCTAAAATTCTTGATAAAAGCACAATGCGCGGCATGCGAAGAAAGTACTGGACGCATGTTGCCCAAAACTTCAAACTTCATGCTTCCGAAAGAATCACAAGAGCAGTTCAAGGGAGTAAATCAAAGAGAGTTACGTTCTCCATCAATGCATCTCCTAAGATGAGCCCCCAAAGGAGCAAGAATCACAGGGCACTGGCTAATGAAAGCTATTTTTTATGGTTAGCCTCGCGAGATCAAAATTTTTGTTCGCTCACAATCACGCCAAAATGAGGATGAAAGCGAAATGTGTAAGACCAAATGGAGGGATATCCAACAAGTAACATGAAGACTGACGAACTTCTGCTCAAACAGCTGAAAAAAGAGGAAGGATTAAAGAAGAGTAGGACTGACATGATTGCGTCAGAAACCGCCGCAGAAAGCGTTTGCGTTGCGGCGTCAACCTTGGAGCGCGGCAGGTATCACCCGGACGCTGGAAAACTGGGACGCGGCGAAGAAAAAGTTTTAGGAGAGTGTAACTTTCTTGAGACGTATTTGTTTCACTTATTGAGGTAGGTTTAAACTGTGCCTGAGGTGGCTTTACAGAAAATTGCAAGGATGACCTAACTCTCCCAAAAGTATTTCTGTCAGAAGCGGAAAACCCAAAATTCTGAGAAGGCGCACCTCCAACTTTGAAGGCCCATAAAATCTTTCGTATGCGACATTTTGGAAATCTGTGAAAAGTTTTAGAAACTTCAAATATTTCTCTAACAAAAGATTATAAAAGTTAAGTGAT